AGAGGAAAACAGCTGCCCTGTGTAAGATTTCATGACAGAGTTTATTCAGGAAGTAAGAATAGCAATAGCTCTAAGGGGAGAATGACTTTGAAAAGAGAGGAAGTGAATGTGAATTTGAGTTAGAACTGGAGAATGGGGAGAGCAAGTATCAGAATAGGAGGTGCCAAGGGGGCTTGTTTATATGGATGGACTGTGGATTTTGCTCTGAGTGAAATGGGAAGTCGTGGAAGGTTTTTAGCAGAAAAGCACCCAGATATTAAAAAACAGAGACATTACTTTGCCAACAAAGGTCCATCTAGTCAAAGCTATGGTTTTTCCAGTGGTCATGTATGGATGTGAGAGTTGTTCTATAAAGTAAGCCAAGCACCGAAGAATTGACGCTTTTGAACTGTGGTGTTGGAGAAGACTCTTGAGAGTCCCTTGGACAGCAAGGAGATCAAACCAGTCCATCCTAAAGGAAATCAGTCCTGAATATTCATTGGAAGGACTGATGCTGAGGCTGAAACTCTAATACTTTGGCCACCTGATGCAAAGAACCGACTCATTAGAAAAGACCCTGATGCTGGAAAAGATTGAAGGTGGGAGGAGAAGAGGATGACAGAGAATGAGATGGTTGGATGGCATCACTGACTCAACGGACATAATTTTGAGCAAGCTCTGGGAGTTGGTGATGGACAGGGAAGCCTGGCAGGCCGCAGTCCATGGGGTCGCAAAGAGTCGGACACGACTGAGCGACTGAACTGAACTGATCAAGATCTGATTTCAATTTAAAAAGGCGATAGCTGCTGCTTTGTGAAGAAAGAATTTCATAGAATTAAAAGCGGAGACCAAAAGACCAGTTAGAATATTTCAGTGGCTCACAGGAGAGATGAGGGTGAGGTGCAGAGTGGTGGCAAGAGAGATGGTAAGAGGTAAATGGATTGGAGGGCATGTTGTGAGCTCACAGACAGTGAGGAGAAAACCTCGATGAAAATTTAAATTGTCCTGACTCTAAACTTATGCACATATTATCTGCCCCTAAAAAGTGAATTTCAATTCTAGCAGCAGGAAGCAAAGATGTTCATTGTGGGAACCAGGGAAGATGAGGGAAACATGACGGGTGAATGAGGTGGGCTGCCACAGTTAGGGGCTTTAGGCAGCCAAAGGTCTCTCTCTAGATTTGGGAAAGCAAATATTTCAGACTACATCATAGTAGAAGATCCCATTTAGCCTGCTCATTATAGAATGAGGCTAGATAGACTTTTTCCTCTCAAGGGACATACACCCCTCAAATTGACAAGCTTCATAGAATTCAATCAGCTGAATTAAAATTTTCATTTGCTTCTTTAATAGAGAGTGATTTAGCAGAGTTCTGCCATTTTCCTTTCAAAGAAGGCTGTGTATAAGCAAAGTGTATGTCTCCTGAGCGTCCCAGCCAGTGTAGTGTGCTGTGAAAGCCTGATAAATGTTCCATCACTCTAATGGCCTAAGATTTCTTCCTGGATGTCCTTAGGCTTTTCTCTGGGGTGTAAAGACTACATTATTCTGGGAAGCAGTAACTGTAATGGTTTGGTCAATTAGTATAAGTATTAGCTGTGACTAGGTCCAAATGATGAAATTGTAGTTTTAAGCATTTTGGATGTAAAGCACAATATATCTAAAACCTCTTTCATAGATTAAATCAGGTTACAGCCAATATTTTATCAAACTCCATTTAACAAAGCAGGCCAAGACTTGGAGGATCACTCTCTGTCAACCTTGTTTCTCCTTTGCTTCCCTTCTCTTGTCAAAACTTGTTCTAAAGAATTATAGATTTGAGAGTCATTTGCAGAAATACAAATGCCTAGTAAGACTTCAGGTATTTGCTCCTCCAGGGAGGTTCTTGTTTTCACAGGAAAACAAGAAATCTTGAGCCAAAAGAGTGAATTTGGCCACCAATGAAATGAGTGGAGCAAATAAATTAAATGCTACTGTATTCACTAGGGTACTCCAGAGAACCAGTAAGATGTTTGCGTGCATGTATATATGCACAGAAAGAGATTGACTTTAAAGGATTACTTACATGATTATGGAAGCTTGCAAGTCTAAATCTGCAGTGTGGGCCAGCAGTCTTGAGACCTAGGAGAGCTGATGTTGCAGTTCCAGTCCAAAGGCACTCTGTGGGAATATTCCCTCCTGCTCAAGAAGGCTGGTCTTTTTGTTTTACTTACACCTTGAAATGACTGGATTAGGCCCACCAACATTAGGAGGGCAATTGTCTTTACCCAAAATTCACTGATTTAAATGTTAATCTCATTTAAAATCATCCTCCAAGTTGACACATAAATTTAACCATCACACCGACCTTTAATAAGAACTGTTAAATATATGGGTCTACAGACAGTCCCTGGTTTACAATGGTTCAACGTTATGATGGCATGAAAGTAAAACACGTTTAGTAGAAATTGTGCTTAGAATTTTGATCTTTTCCCAGGCTAGCACTGTGTGGTCCCATACTCTTTCATGATGCTGAGCAGAGGCTCCCACTGCAGCTCCTGGTCAGCCACGTGATCTCAACTCATATACTTATAGTCATTCTGTACCCACACAACCATTCTGTTGTTCACTTTCAGTACAGTATTCAATAAATTGCATGAAATATATAACAGTTCATTATAAAATAGACTTTGTGTTAGATGGTTTGCCCAAGTGCAGGCCAATGTAAGTGTTCTGAGTATGTTTAAAGTAAACTATGCTAAGCTATAGTGTTCAGTAGGTTAGATGTATTAAATGCATTTTCAATTTATGATATTTTCCATTTACAATGGGTTATCAGGACATAATTCCATCATGAATTAAGGAATATCTGTATTTGTTTACTTCTTATATGATTTATATCCCCCATTATATTTGATACTCTTTGGTTTACAGTTCTGTTCAAACCACAGATAGTCATGTACATACCTTCATATTTGAAATGCTGGTTTAACTCCTATTCGTATATCGGTATGATAAAGAACGTATCAAGAGTTGTTGACCATGTCCAATTGGGCATATATTGACCCTGTATTAGATGGTACAAATCATAGGAGAAATCAAAAGTAAGTAAGGCATAGTTATTATTGTCATATGAAAGGCAGAATATTAATGCACTTATCTTAAAAAATGATAAGCACAATGCAGGTGGATTCAGAGAAGGGGAACATGACATCCCAATGAGAGAATATATCCATTTTTTTCTTCTTTCCTTCAGCAAAAATTTATGAAGCTCTACTATAGGTCAACCGCTATTTTACATTCTGAGATAGAGTAGTAAAACATAAATGAATTTCCTAGCCTATTGGAATTTACTTTCTAATGAGGGAGACAGACACCAAACATGAAACCAAGTAAGTAGGGTGATTTTAGGTCCTGATAGTATTTTAGATAGCAACAGGTAAGATTTTTAAAATTAAATGGAGTATCAGGAGAGACTACCAGTGCTGTTGCCGCACACGTGCTTAATTGTGTCTGACTCTTGTGACTCCATGAACTGTAGCCCAACAGGCTTCTCTGCCCATGGGATTTCCCAGGCAAGAATACTGGAGTGGGTTTCCAGTTCCTCTTCCAGGGCATCTTCCCAAACAAGAGGTAGATCCTGCATCTGTCTGCGTCTCCTGCATTGCAGGCAGATTCTTCATCCACTAGGGTTGCTATTTAAGTTAGGGAGAGGCCTTTCTTGCTATAGAATGGCACTGAGCTGACACCTGAATGAAGAGGAGTTATCCATGCCTGTGTCTCAGGGAAAAGCATTCCAGTCAGAGGGAACAGCAAATATGAAGATTTCGAGGATGAAATGAGTTTGCAGTGTTTAAGAAAATCATTAGGGATGGCATTTATGAAAGCCCAATGATGAGGTGAGATTTTTACAAGTAAAGATTGGAGAGAGGTAAAGAAATGCAAAGGGCCGCAAAGAAGCAAAGGACCACAGCCTTGACTAACTCAATGAAAATAAGCCATGCCGTCTGGGGCCACCCAAGACAGATGGGTCATGGTGGAAACGTCTGACAGAATGTGGTCCACTGGAGAAGGGAATGGCAAACCACTTCAGTCTTCTTGCCTTGAGAACCCCATGAACAGTATGAAAAGGCAAAAAGATAGAACACTGAAAGAGGAACTCCCAAGGTCAATTCAGTTTAGTTCAGTTGCTCAGTCGTGTCCGACTCTTTGTGACCCCATGAATCGCAGCACACCAGGCCTCCCTGTCCATCACCAACTCCCGGAGTTTACTCAAACTCATGCCCATCGAGTCGGTGATGCCATCCAGCCATCTCATCCTCTGTCATCCCCTTCTCCTCCTGCCCTCAATCCCTCCCAGCGTCAGGGTCTTTTCCAATGAGTCAACTCTTCGCATGAGGTGGCTAAAATATTGGAGTTTCAGCTTCAGCATCAGTCCTTCCAAAGAACACACAGGACTGATCTCCTTTAGGATGGACTGGTTGGATCTCATTGCAGTCCAAGGGACTCTCAAGAGTCTTCTCCAACACCACAGTTCAAAAGCATCAATTTTTCGGTGCTCAGCTTTCTTCACAGTCCAACTCTCACATCCATACATGACCACTGGAAAAACCATAGCCTTGACCAGATGGACCTTTGTTGGCAAAGTAATGTCTCTGCTTTTTAATATGCTATCTAGGTTGTTCATCACTTTCCTTCCAAGGAGTAAGTGTCTTTTAATTTCATGGCTGCAGTCACCATCCGCAGTGATTTTGGAGCCCCCCAAAATAAAGTCAGCCACTCTTTCCCCATTATTTGCCATGAAGTGATGGGACCAGATGCCATGATCTTAGTTTTCTGAATGTTGAGCTTTAAGCCAACTTTTTCACTCTCCTCTTCCACTTTCATCAAGAGGCTCTTTAGTTCTTCTTCACTTTCTGCCATAAAGGTGGTGTCATCTGCGTTAGAGATGTGTTAATATTGATCTATTAATTAGGACATAGATAACTTAATCCAATTTGTATCAATACAATTGTCTGGTCCCTATTTATCCCTCTTATGCATAGGGTAAGGATAAAGGCTTTGTCAGATGCCACATAGAAGTCCATTTGCGAGCGACAGCGACGCAAGATGGCAGCCACCACGGGCTCGGGAGTAAAAGTCCCTCGCAATTTCCGACTGTTGGAAGAACTCGAAGAAGGCCAGAAAGGAGTAGGAGATGGCACAGTTAGCTGGGGTCTAGAAGATGACGAAGACATGACACTTACCAGATGGACAGGGATGGTAATTGGGCCTCCAAGAACAATTTATGAAAACCGAATATACAGCCTTAAAATAGAGTGTGGACCTAAATACCCAGAAGCACCCCCCTTTGTAAGATTTGTAACAAAAATTAATATGAATGGAGTTAATAGTTCTAATGGAGTGGTGGACCCAAGAGCCATATCAGTGCTAGCAAAATGGCAGAATTCGTATAGCATCAAAGTTGTCCTGCAAGAGCTTCAGCGCCTAATGATGTCTAAAGAAAATATGAAACTCCCTCAGCCACCTGAAGGACAGTGTTACAGCAATTAATCAAAAAGAAAAACCACAGGCCCTCCCCTGCCCCCCATTCGATTTAAGCAGTCTTCATTTTCCACAGTAGTAAATTTTCTAGATTCGTCTTGTAGACCTCAAAGTACTGGAAAGAAAGCTCCCATTCAAAGGCAGTTTATCTTAAGATACTGTAAATGATACTAATTTTTTTGTCCATTTGTAATATATAAGTTGTGCTATAACAAATCATCCTGTCAAGTGTAACCACTGTCCACATAGTTGAACTTCTGGGATCAAGAAAGTTATATTTAAATTGATTCCCATCCTAACCGGTGGGGCACATGTAACTCAACTGTGAAAAGACACATCACACAATCACCGTGCTGCTGATTCCATGGCCTGGGGTCTCTGCCTTCTCCCCCTCCCCTCCCCCTCCCTGCAACAGCCCTCCAGCTAGGGGTGGCTTCTTGGAGTAGACGTGAAGGTTTCAGGTCACAGCCTGGGGGGCCCTGCTGAGGTGCGGGGTGCTCTGTCCGCACCCCTGGTCTCTCTGAGTCTTAAGTGACGCCCCCCTTCCAAGCCATCAATCCTCCTCCCCCCACCCTCCACTGCCGCCCGTGGCCGAGGCATAGATTGTAGCCCTCTGCTCCCCTCTGAGATCGGCCTTTGGTGAGGACTTCAGGGCTTCCCCGTATCTTCTCCCCCCACCGTAATCGAGGGGTGCTGCCTTCTCCTTCCTCCTCCTCAATCCCTTTCTGCACCGCCACCCAGCACTTCCATGACGCTTCCTTGCTTTGGCCAGAAGCCATCAGGTAAGGTTGGAAAGTCTCTGACCTCCCATCATTTAGTCTTGGAACCACAGTTTATTTACTCTCACCAGCCTGGGAAATGAATATTGGGTTCTCAGCCTTGCCACCCTCTGCTGTCCCCATCAGCTGATGCGTTTCTTTAGCTCAGGTTTCGATAAGGTGAAAAGAACAGTCACCGGGCTTACTCAGACCTGCAGCTCGCGACCTCCTTGGTGGTTAAACTTGGAGAAAGGCCGCAGAAGACACTTGTAAGCACACACAATCCCTCTGAATGAATTGTTTTCTTTTCCTGTAAAGGCTTTGGCTTTTTAAAATCGAAGAAGTTTTAAACAGGGCTCTCATTGGGTCATCCTTTCAGTCCATTCGGGTCTAGTTTGGAAGCTGACAACTGGAACAAAAAGAACCTTGAATTTGGTGCATACTTTGGTTTTGGTGCTGCTGCTTCTCCCCGTCCTCAGCAGGGATTACGAAAGAACTTGGTGTGCACGGCAGATCCCCGAAATTCCTGGCGAATCGCTACGTTTTTCCACTTTTCTGTTCAGGACCACTAAATGCTGAGATGTGGATGCATACCGAAATAAAATCAATTCATTGTGAAAAAAAAAAAAGAAGTCCATTTGCAACATTTTTATAAAGTACCTTTGATATGTCAGTTGACAAAATTCAACATAACCTATCTCATCTCATCACCTTACTCCATGACAGATCGGCTTCTTCATTTTCCTCTTTCTGATGAAGAGGCCCTTTCCCCCTTAGGTCACCCAGACTTGAAAGTTGAATTGTTTCTGATAACCTCCACTTTCTTCTCCTCGGGATCAACTAATCACTAAACCAGGTGTTTGCTCTTCATTATAATGTTCTGGAACTCTTATGTCTCCATTTCCCACTTTTCCCACCTAATCCAGGCCTTTATCATGTCAGACACGGACTACTGCAAAAGCTGAACTGACTTCGCTCGTTCTTCTGCGTAGTGACAGTGTGAAGAATGGCTCCCTTTTATTCCTGTCCCTCCCATTTAAATGCATTTACCCATTTCTTGTGTACACATTTATTAGACATTGGGGCAGAGGGGAGTGTTTCTTGTCTCTTCCAACCTCTTTGTGAGCAACTTAAAGGCAAAGATTATAGTATCAACTCCCCCATCATTGTCCACACAAATATTACGCAAATACCATTTAATTGCTTTATAGTATATAAATATGTAAATAGCTGTTAAAAGTGAAAGTAAGTCACTCAGTCGTTTCTGCCTCTTTGTGATCCCATGGATCCCATGGAGCCCTCCAGGCTCCTCTGTCCATGGAATTCTCCAGGCAAGAATACTGGAGTGGGTTGCCATTCCCTTCGCCAGGGGATCTTCCCAACCCAGGGATCGAACCCATGTCTCCCACATTGCAGGCAGATTCTTTACCATCTGAGACACCAGGGAAACCCAGGAAACTGGAGTGGGTAGCCTATCCCTTCCCCAGGGGATCTTCCCAACCCAGGAATTGAACTGGGGTCTCCTGCATTGCAGGCGGATTCTTTACAGGCTGAGCTACTAGGGAAACCCTTAAATAGCTGTTAACTAGAGATCAAAACCATTGAGTCAGTTCACTTATTTCACTTATTCTCTTATTTCATTCTTATTAAATGTAGGTATGGAATATTTTTGTAGCACCATAGTTATGTGAAGATAATTATATGCAACTTATTAGAACCAAGACCAGCACATTGAATTCATCTGGATGGTCTTGTGGTAAAGTATTAGAAATTTGTCATTTGAGAATCTTCCAAATGTATAGGATGCTACTCCAAGCAGAAATCTATTGGCAGACAAAATACCCTGAGTTCGATGCTTCACTTGCAGTGTTAGGCTGAATGGTGTTTGGCAGCAAAAATCCATCCAGAGACCTCCAGAGACTCATTAAAAGTAGATTAACGCTGAAGCATAGCAAAATGGTTTCCATTTGGACTATGGTGCCAACTTAATAGATACATGAAAAATAAAATGATTAGTTCCTTGTAAAGACATTCATCTAACTAGGCAGTTCCTAAAAACAGTCAATGTGTATACACTTTTTAGGTCAATGTAGTTAACATAATTTCTTTGAAACATAGGACCTAAACTCAAGTGACAGGAGAGATGACCCCAAACCAGGCCACATATGTGCAAGAAGAGTAAAAATTAATTATATAACTTTAAAGTTGAAGTACTAGCACATAAATATGCCTCATTTGTATGACATAATGGAGAAGGAAATGGCAACCCACTCCAGTGTTCTTGCCTGGAGAATCCTGTGGACAGCAGAGCCTGGTGGGCTGCTGTCCATAGAGTTGCACAGAGTCGGACACGACTAAAGCGGCTTAGCATGCATGTGTACATTGGAGAAGGAAATGGCAACCCACTCCAGTATTCTTGCCTGGAGAATCCCGGGGATGGAGGAGACTGGTGGGCTGCAGTCTATGGGGTTTCACAGAGTCGGACACGACTGAAATGCCTTAGCAGCAGCAGCAGCAGTATGACATAAAAAATGAGAACAGTCACTCTATGGGAGAACCACTTACTGATGGATACATAGCTCAGTGGCTCCCAATCCTGTATATGATATGCATTTATGTCAAAACTCAAAGCAAGTACAAATCTTTTTCTAATCACTAGAGTAACTCATTGTCATTGTAGAGCATTTGGAAAATATATAAGCACAAAAGGAAGATGAAATTTACCTGAAATCTTACTACTCAGTTATGACTCCTATTAACATTTGGTGAAGCTATGTAATTTTAATATATTTTGTAAATAGGGATCTTATTGTGCATACAGGCAAAAGACATATTTTCTACAATCAAAAACACATTTCATTTTCTTATGTCACCGATGCCACCTAATTATTATCCATACATCTGCTCTTATAAATTTTAATTATTTTGTTGATTTTTATTAGTACTTTAACAGGGAAAGTCAAGAGCATATGTGTTGTCAAGATAATGGTCTGATGTTTGCTTTGGCAATTTTGCCAGCTATTATGAAGCCTCTCTTTAAAAGACCTCATTGAAGCCATAGTAACATCTTATGAAATAGGAAGCACGTTGGTAGTTGCCAAAAGGTGTCAAGTAGGCCCGTTTCAGGGAAGATTACGGGTCTTCTTGGAGCCTGTTTGGCAAGGAACATTGGAACATGAGGCATTGCTTGCCTGGGAATTAGGAGATCTGAGTTCTAATTTTGACTCTGCCACTAAATTACCACTAACCTCATTTTCTTACCTAGGTATAGAATTAGGGGGGTGGGTATTAGGAGAGAAAAAATATTTGAAATGATCTGAAAATTCATCAAAAGCCTATTATGATCTAGACAGAAAGTACAGGTGCTCAATGTATTGCATATTGGATATTGATTGATTGAACAGCATATCCAGGTCAAAAAGTTGTTGACGAAGCAGTTATAGCCACAACATTAACTGGAAATGTGGGAAAAGAAAAAGAATGTGTCAACCCTTTAAAAAATGCCCTCCAGTGAAAAACATAACATAAAGTTTTCTTTTGCAACTGTAAATATTTGTGAATAGTTCTCAGATAACTCCAGGTCACTGATTTGCTGAGGTTGGAGTCTTGACCTCCTATTGACCCCTTCATGTCATAGCATTCCTTTTACTTTGGTTATTTTTTATTTTTCTAATCTCATAGCAATAGATCAACACAGGCCCATGGTAAATACCAAGGGAAGTCTCAATTAGGGTGTTTCATTATATTAAGGCTTTGAATGATAATACCATGTGTCCAGTTCATATTATTAAAGTTATGGTTAATCTTTCCTGAACTACATCTGCTTTCCTGCATTCCTTTCAGAAGGGACTAGGAGAATAATTGTTGTGTGCATGAATAAGGTTTACTAGTGAGACCTTTTGGTTTGGGGGACTCAACTTTATTGACTCAAAGTTGGAGAATAACATTAGACCCCTCAGCTGACAGTTATTGTTGTTTAGTCACTGAGTCGTGTCTAACTCTTTACAACCTGGTGGACTATAGCCCACCAGGTTCCTCTGCCCATGGGATTTCCCAGGCAAGAATACTGGAGTGGATTGCCATTTCCCTTGCCAGGGAATCTTCCTGACCCAGGGATTGAACCCACATCTCCTACATTGGCAGGCAAGTTCTTTGGCCACTGAGCCATCAGGGAAGCCCACAGTTAACAGATTAGATTATAAATGATACAAGGGACAGAGCTCTGACAAGACTTCACAGTGATAAAGTGTTGGGGCCAGAGACAGGGAAAAAAATTTTTAAAAAAAGGAATCTCAAATCCCTGTCACAGGGATCTCTCAATTTTCACCACTAATCACATCCATACTCCCAGAATAAGAGAGAAAATTTCCACTTTCCTACCCATCTACCCTTTCCCCTGCACTGCTTCTGTGTTCACCTTCTTTAGACCTGGTTTCTCTTCCTTTGATTCATATTATTTCTTGGTTTCCTTTGACCACTTAGAACACAGAGTCAGCAAGAAGTCTTTGGGGGTGAGGAGAGACAATACCAGTCTGGGAGAATCAGAGCTTTTGCCTGTGAAGTGCATGGCCCTGCTGTTCCCTGTTGCTAGCCATAGGAAATCAAGAAAAAGGGATCCGGTGTCAGATGAAGAAAAGAGTGAAAGAGAGGAAGCATCAAGTGTCTTTTTTATCTCTCAAGGATCTATGGGGGTCTCTCTCTCTGAAAGACATGGCAAAACATGAGGGCAAGTGACAAAGCCCTGTCACATGTAATTTCAAGTTTGGCAGCAGGAGAACAGATTGAATGACATGTAAACCTTCCTCACTGAGACTTCGAGTCACATACCACTTGTTCCCAGAAACACAATCATAAACACCAGCTGAGGACTTTCTAGAAAAGAACAAGAATTTACATGGAAGTTGTGGCCAGTGAATAGCATTTCCAGGGAATAATGCAGTGTAATAAGGGCAAGAGACACATAGAGAATCAGCCAAAAGCTCCATCTTCTTTCATTAAGTGTTCTGCCCATGCCCATGAAAATTTCTCCAAGACAGCTTTTGGCAGAGCCTTGGAAGAAATGAAAATTCAAGTTCCTGCCTAATGATGGAAAGCAAAGAGTTAACTAGATGTCTGCTAAAGCCTGTCTTCAGTCTCTCCTGGTCATACATCTCTCTTGGTCATTCATCCTAGGAGTAATATAATAACAGCTTCCAACAGGGCTGATATCCAGCTATTACATTCCTGTACAGTCCTACCTATTGTTTGCATCTCTTCTAATCATCCAGTGCCCATTTAGGCTATCATACTTCTACAGGCAATTTTTGAAAGAATTTCCTCCCATGATTTTGCCTGAGATATGCTGCTCATAGACAAGACAGCCTCTTCCAGAGACTCACTGGAGAGGTCTAGGGAACGCACATAAAGGAAACTGCCCTATTTCACATTTGACAGCCCAATACTGCCAGCTCCTCAAGGGCTGACAAAGTTAATAAGCCACAGAAGACTTGGGGAATGTGTACATGTAAGTGAAAAGGACTAATAAATCCCAGCAGGTTTAGGACCGTCAGGAGGCATGTATGCAGCCTCCCTCATCACCTCTGTCTTCTCTTCTGGCTGAGTGGAGTTCTCATGGCTGCTCATCTCCACC